GTATTTAAAAAAAAAAAAACGATTATACAATTGGTGAAATACGTAGTGTTATAATGGAAGCAAAATAAAGGTACAAAACACCAGAAGGCTTTCAGTTAGTTTGACTTTGAAGGCCATATCCCCAGTTTTAAACCCCAGCTTGATGGTGCCTACGCATGCCATAATACAGTTGTAATATATCCCATATATTTCTTTCGAAAAGCTCCATCACTTATTGTACATACCTGTGTCTTCCCTCTCCCCACCAACACTTTGTTCTCAGGTTTGCTTTTATGCACACAAATCTGTCAAAGCCTCATTGTCCATGGTTCGATGTGGCTCAAATCTTCGATCGTAAGATTGAAGATTCAGATCCTGGGGGGAAAAACTGCCAATGTGGGACGGTTTGGGATGAGTTAACCACTCCCTGCTCAGTAACTCTCGTCTGGTCTCTCTCGCTCTACCTCAAACTAATGGAGGCTGTTTGATGGAACAAAAACGAGACGGAAACGGACTGGAGACGAAATTCCCACCTCTGTAAACAGACCGACGTTCCGTTGCAACTATGGAACGAAATCTAGTGATGTATTCCATCGAAATCTTGTCGGTTGTTTGTCTCTGTTGCTTTGTTTTATCGGGTAATAGGTTGGGAAATAGTTCAGTATCATAAAAGTGACATTCAGTTTGGATACATTTGAGTTCCCAGTCGAATTACAAATAATTGTGCGCGTGTATATTGCTTGCAATTGTCGTACAATTAGTGTTCTGGTTAGTCGAAGGGAAACTCGGGGAGTGCTCCCATCTGATGAAGTCCAGGGAGAAAGAGACCGGTCGTGTGCTGTCGACGAGATTTCAGTAGGCTTGTGAGTAGTCCCACTCATTTTTTTCTGTATAATAATGTGAGTTTATCGAAATTCACTTATGATTGGCTGCGTTTGTCCATCCGTGCTTTTAACTCTCATCGATAGGAGACCAGGAAAATTTCAACGAAATTTTCAAAGAGATTTCAGAAACCTTGTGAGTAGTTTCCTTTATGAAAATATACTGCGATATCTCAAATATCGTGCCAACTGAAACTTGAGGCGGTTTGTGTGCAGCACTTTCAGTTGTAGAATATCATAAACGAGAGATTCAGTTGAGACTCTCGTGAAAACCAAACTGATTTGCAAGTGAGTGTATTTCCCGAAAACAGTTCAATTTGGGTTCAAGTAGAACATAGGTTTGACGAAACCTCGGAGATTGCGCCTGCATGATGAGGCTCAAGAAGGGCGAAACAGGTCGTGGGCTGTCGAAGAGGTTTCAGCAACCTTGCGGGTAGTTTCCTCTATGAGATTTTTCTGTTTCGAAAAAAATTGCTTGTCAATCCACGTGAAAGTGGAGTACAGATGTTGGTACGGCGTGAAGCCATTCTTCATTTTGATTCCGCTTTCATCGGAACCGCCTTTCTTGCCATATTTGGATTTCGTTCAGAGGTAAGAGGTACTTTATGACCGGAATACGATGTCTTTTGAAGGCTTCCAGGGTATCCTTCCAAGTGTGACGAACTCTCAGACCGTCAGTATACGTATTGTTATCCTGAAAAAGGCCCACCGACGATAAATCTCTTGGAATGGGTGAAAAACGGAACATCTCTCTCTCAAATAGCCCCGAAAAGTTGGAAATCTCAAAGACTTACAGCTATTCACTGACAATGCTGTCAGCTGGAGAACACAATAGAGATGGTATGTTCTCCGTGGAACAAAAGTCGCGCACTTTACGACGGTGACTATGTCTAGGAAGGTACTTCTGACACGCACACGCGCAAACACTCTGACACACCGAAGCAGCTACTACAAGTAGCAAGCAGAAGTGAGTAGCACTCTGGTGCTACCAGGATACTCTACTGAATACCACCTCGAAGACTGTCTTATGTTTCAGCCGGAACGATATTCAAGTTATCGAAGGAGGCGTCCACAAAGCCGCCACTACCTGGGGGTTCCATATTGGAGATCTTTTAGGTATTTTGGGTCCGACGATGGCGAACAAACGCGGAAAATTTTTTCACTTGTGATTGGACGGATGCAGGATTGTCTCCAATCCCTCTAGAAGAAGCGCACAGAATAGTATCTCTCTTGTTTGGAAGTTGCTCATCGTAAACACCATGTTTCCGACGTGTTTTGAACAAGAATTTAAGACCTGCGTCCAGCTGAAGTTTCTGTTGATACAATATCGATTTTGAATCTTCGGCAGGGATCGATATTCCTTTCTTACCAATTGTTGCCTCTCGTAATTCTGTTTGTTCTTCTTTACGGTATCCAATCTATTGGGTTGCTCTCCCCGGTCTGTTGGAGCACAGAAGACGGAATAGCATGAGACATAATATTCTGATAGAGGAGAAACTACTTGCTTAGAATTAAGCGACGAACTTCATAGAAATTCACGTCCATCATACAGTAAATCAGTGTAACAACCCACCAAGCCTCGTTGCAGGGATTTTGGATGGATCATCCACAAGGTCTTCAACCGAAGACATTCCACCGATTAAAAGGGCATGTTAACAGCACTTTTCTTCTTCATGATTTCTTCATCTTCATCAGATCCACAGATCGCGCTAGACCGACAAGCTTGGACAGTCAAGCGTTGTGTTGTGTTGCAGTGCAAAGACGGAAAAAACCAAATTCTGCTTGAGGAGGACAAGAAACCAATCATAATCATCATCATCATCATCATCATCATCATCATCATCATCATTATCATCGTCCTCATCATTATGATCATCGTCATCACTGACAGCAACAGAAGAGAACACCAGAGCTGCGCTGTCGTACAATCATGTCAACTGACCTAATATGAGGGTTTCTGTGAGCGTCACGTGTACACTCTCCCAGTGGGTTATGAAGGTGTGCAGTCTGTCACACCTCGGTAAGTTCCAGTTTCTTCGTCATGGGCTGAATGCTTTTCTTACCTATGCTTTGCCCGCCGTCCCAAACTGCAGTCCATTTCAGCAGATTTACGTCATTTATCGAGGAATCCGCTTAGACGGACTACACATAACCGGTATGGAACACCGTTTTTGGAAGTTCAAACTTGACCACCCGTTCGTTGCCTATTTTTTGGATACGGTACAAGGGATGTTACTCAGACATCACAATGCTCTCCTATCCTCAGCTGAAGCGAAATACAGTCAAAGAATAACTCACCTAATGAGCGACAGGCCAAAAATTTTCGTTCCTTCTCGGCATCCACCCTTTCCAGACACAATAGCCACTTCTCGCGGCTTTGTGCGATTTATTGATTTCAAAATCATAGAAAAATACTAGACCAGGAAATAAAATTCATGATCGAATCTTGCACACGTTCTTTCGTGTAGTAAAACATTAAACAAGGAAAATCGAAAGTTTATGTTTAAATCTACGCGCGAGAAGATTAAAAGTTCAGGTCTTAGCGTGTTCATCGTTGAACGTGGCAGCACTATCCATGCCCCGACTGTGCCGTGGATCGCTTAAACCACTGCAACCCAAACTGAAGAAAACAAGCTGTATTGATGAGCACTGATTTGTTCGCTGAACTTCACGTGTGGTTTGTGGACGTTTCATCCCTAATCATGGTCATATCCTCAGTATGCCGACATGGGAAGCGCGCTGTGGTTGGGCTTGCGTGAGTCTGCTCATGCGGGTCGAAACGTATTATGTATCGTCTCACAGCAACAGCAAAAAACGGAGCGGAACTAAAACATCATTTGGGCATCGAGAACATATCAGCTAGGGCAACACAAAAGTATATTAGCTCTCCTGCTTTTTTCCGTTGGTATGGCAGCAAGACACCGGAAGATTGCCACAACGAAGCAAAATATACTGACCGATAGATCGACTTCGAGAAAGGACGACACTGAATACCATACTAATGATAATGAACTATGACCTTCTATGTGAGTAGAGGAACATTATCCAGGAGTCCCAAGACACCATTCACTTCACCTCAGTTCCATGAAAAAGTTCCAAGAAGAATCCAAAGTCAACTGGAAAAACACTTGAATTCATGTGAGCAGTTGCAAGATATGAGACAGGATCCCTAGAATCTCGGTGGACGCAGCAACCCGTCGATCGGTTAAAATACAACCTGTTTGCCTATTACAACGCGCGTAAGACAGTCCGCTCAGGGAAGACAAAGTCAGAACTAGCCAACGTATGAAGAAACAGTACTCACTGCGAAGAAAGAATGTGAAACGTAGGTAATTACTGAGGGGGATGACAGCAAAATTTCAAGACTATCCAGAAATCAAACTAATAGTAACGGATCAATTGATAAGCCAATCAGAGTGCTCAATTAGTAGTCAAGGTCGATTTGGCTGAGTAAACGTCACAGAAACCAACACACCCATTTCAGCGCACATTGCACTGGCAGCGTCACCCCATTGGCCAACACAGCGAAAAATCGATCATCGAGACCTTCAGCTGAGTTAGACGATCAGGATAACGATAACTTGATGCAAGGCCATTAGAAAAACTTCACACAAGCGTTATAATTTGTTTGGACCATTGTGCCTCGGTTAGCCGAGAAAAAACACCTGTACGAAACGTTTTCAGCTCTCAAGCCACTAAAGTACCCTTCCCACCGTCCCCCTCTCCCCTCTGGCAGGAATTACCCATCCTGTGTGATTCAAACCGCCAAGTCTGGTTCCACACAAGACGTGAGTTGTGAAAGCAAAAAACCTACATACTGAAGACTATCGCAGAACGATAAGCGACAAAAAATGCTGGCAAGTCAGGAATTTAGCACGCTTTTTGTTCACAAATTCGAGACTGTTCACTCACTGTCCACAGATTCTAAATTTAGGCTTTTCCCAGAGATTTCCGAGGTGAGGACCACTATGGAAAGAGTCGTTATATTTGCAGACTGTTCAAATTAAAATTAAACAATCCTTTGGCCGTAACACCTTCATTCGGTGCCTAGCGGTCACCCGAAGTAACTACGGGAACTGAGATACTCCCAAGTTGGCCAAGCCTAGACAAAAACATTCTAGGTTCAGAGGTTGGGTTCGAACCACGAACCTTCTAGGTTCGTGCCTAACCATTGAGCCATCTTGTGCTCAGAGGTAAAATTGATCAGGTAGTCAAACATGCACTTTCTTTGAACATACGGAGATGGTTCTCCGGGATTTTCAGATGACAATCGGACTGATGTATCGGTCACAATGCGTTCAAATGTTCAAATGATTCAACTCCCACTTGATCGATGAACCGAAAACCGACAATACGATTTATCACTCAACTTTTTTCCCGGTCCAAACGACATTTTTGCGCTTTTTTCTGTTATAGGTAATCGCGTTGAGTTTTCAGTGATATCACAGAGCTGGCGGTTGATCAAATGGCAGTTGATCTGTTCGCCGAGCTTGGTAACTGGCTGGCAAACTTTCCGTCCCCAGTCGAAGAGGCATCGACAGTGCGCAGTTGAATGGGTGCTTCCTCCGTGCCTATGTAGTTTCCGTAGAGTATCCAATATCCTGTCATGTGATTGGCTAGTGGGTATGTACCATCTGTTGCATTAAAGTAGGACCTATCGTGATTTTTTGCTGCGTTGTGGTCTGTAGGCCTCTCATTCCTTTATTTTGTTGGATGACTGCGTTGAGGTGCTTCGGGTCTGTTTGCAGTTGGTCGGTTCCCGGTTTGTGTTTCGTTGTGGTCTTCCTTCCTTGAATCTGGTTGGTTGTGACAGCGTCTTCTACTTTTGGTCGTTTCCTTGCTTCAACCTGATTGTTTGTTTCCTTTTTCTGTGTCCATCTGTGCGTTCTGTAGTCCCGTAATTCTTTTGTTTGCATGGCCGATAGACTGGATCGATTTCGATGTGTTTGTTGGTGGCTTTTTCAGTGGAGTACCATGCTTCTCGCTTGAGCCAATATGTGAACGGTGTTCCAGTTGAACTTGTGTCCATCTTGATCTTCGTGTACGGAGAAGAGCGAAAATTGGTTGTGCCTTTTTGTTGCAAGTTTGTATTCATGTATCCTGGTAGAAAGCTTCCTTCCTGTTTGTCCCACGTAACGTTTTTCACAAAGCAGCCATCCAACAAACCAATGGAATAAGAGATATACAGACCACAACGCAGCAGGACATCACGGTCGGTCCTACAATAATGCAACAAAAGGTATATACAAACAAGCCAATCACTTGACTGGATTTTAGATACTACAAAAACTACATAAACGCAGCTGGGCACGTAGGAAGCACCAGTTCAACGGCGCACTGATGGTGTCTCCTCGACTGGAGACGAAACGTTTGCAAGCCAGTCGCCAAGCTCGGCGAACAGATCAACTACCATCTGATCAACCACCAGTGAAGTCACAACCGAGCTACCCATATTTCAACAAACTGATATCACAGAACAATTCGCCTGTGTGATGATACACGCAGTGAGGGACGAGTACTCAAAATTTTCAGCACCCGATGACTTGAACAGCAATTTTCTTGGAAACTCCAACTTTTAAAACGCGCAGAATTTCCTGAACTGTGTGTTCTCTTGGCTGAACCTCGAGGCGGTCTGTATGCTGTGCGAAAGTTTCGCGAAGTCTCCAGTTCCAACAATTCCTTCGAATACATGAGCTTCAAAGTATTGGCAACTATTGGCGAAGTTTTTTTTAGGTTGGGAACTGCTTACCTCCACTACCAGCGCTCAACAGAAATGAGCTGGTGATGAATTGTGTTGCGCTTTTGATCACCCATCACATACTACTGTTATCACCCATGCGCTAACTAACCTCACATCCAACATCTAAATGTACCTAAAGCTAAACAGTTTTCACGGATTCGAACTGCTTACCTCCACTACCAGCGCTCAACAGAAATGAGCTGGTGATGAAGTGTGTTGCGCTTTTGATCACCCATCACATACTACTGTTATCACCCATGCGCTAACTAACCTCACATCCAACATCTAAATGTACCTAAAGCTAAACAGTTTTGCAACACGGATTCGCGACGTTCTAAAGCTTTGCTGGATGCTTGATTTTTGTCAGTGGGTAAAACGCAGCTTAAACTTATGGTATATTTAGCCGTGTTCACAATGCACCAAACTTTTCCATTCCGAAATTGTTGCGTTGCTCTTATTCATAATTGAATAAACCCAATATTTTCCATCATTTTGCTAGGCTGACTGTTTTAATTGTTTGTCTGTTCTGTAGGTGTTTTGGTGAGGGACGGTGTTATGTCAGCTCTTTTTGTTCCAAATTGCCAGTAAAGTCTTACCATTGTGGAACCGTCTGATAAGTTCCGCCCAATAAGTCACAAATGACATTCTTTCGTTTGAATTTTGTTCTGCGCTCTTGAAAATGTCCTGCAGAATGGAAAATTTCTTATTAGGACGTTTATTAAAACAAGCAAAGCCCTGAAGGCCAGTGAAACCAAGGCCCGTAGTTGCTCTTGGCTATTTGATTTGTGCTCACTAGCTAAGAAGGACAAATAATCCAAAAACTCTGTGAATGTTCCTTGTGAATAGTCGTCACTGGAAAAGTCAGTCCACACGTGATCACATGATACGAAT